CCTCCCAAGGCCTGTGAAAGTGAGGGATCATTGTCCATGATGGGTTGAAGATCACTAATGATGCGTTGGAGAGGTTTTAGCTGGGGACTATAGGTGATGGCCAGTGGTGTTCTGTTGGTTTCTTTCTTGGGCTTGTCCCGTAGCAGGAGGCTTCTGGGTACACGTCTGGCTCTGTCAATCTGTCTCCTCACTTCCTCGTGTGGGTATCGCAGTTTACAGAATGCTTGTTGAAGATCTTGTAGGTGTAGGTCTCTGTCTGAGGGTTTGGAGCATATGCGGTTGTACCTCAGTGCTTGGCTGTAAACAATGGATCGTGTGGTGTGCCCAGGATGGAAGCTGGAGGCATGCAGGTAAGTGTAGCGGTCGGTAGGTTTTCGGTATACGGTGGTATTGATGTGATCGTCACTTATTTGTATCGTGGTGTCCAGGAAATGGACCTCCCGTGTAGATTGGTCCATGCTGAGGTTGATGGTGGGGTGGAAGCTGTTGAAATCATGGTGAAATTCTTCCAGAGTCTCCTTCCCATGGGTCCAGATGATGAAGATGTCATCGATGTAGCGTAGGTAGAGAAGGGGTGTAAGTGGACAGGAGATGAGGAAGCGTTGTTCCAGGTCAGCCATAAAAATGTTGGCGTATTGTGGGGCCATGCGGGTGCCCATAGCAGTGCCACTGGTCTGAAGGTATATGTTGTCACCAAATCTGAAATAGTTGTGTGTGAGGATAAATTCACAGAGTTCAGCCACCAGTTGTGCTGTGGCATCATCAGGGATACTGTTCCTGACAGCTTGTACTCCATCTGCATGTGGGACGTTTGTGTAGAGAGCCTCTACATCCATGGTGGCTAGGATGGTGTTTTCTGGAAGATCACCTATGCATTGTAGTTTTCTCAGGAAATCCGTAGTGTCACGGAGGTAACTGGAAGTGCTGGTGGCGTAGGGTCTGAGCAGAGAGTTCACATAGCCAGACAGTCCTTCAGTGAGAGTGCCAATGCCCAAGATGATGGGGTGTCCGGGATTTCCAGGTTTGGGGATCTTGGGTAATAGATAGAACAACCCTGGTCGGGGCTGTAAGGGTGTGTCGATTTGTTCCTGTGCTTGTGTAGGGAGTGTCCTGAGCAGATGGTGCAGTTTCTTAGTGTATTCCTTAGTGGGATCTGAGGAAAGAGGCCTGTAGAATTTGGTATTGGAGAGTTGTCTGGCAGCCTCCTTTAGGTAGTCAGGCCTGTTCATGATGACAACAGCACCTCCTTTGTCAGCCTCTTTGATTATAATGTCGGAGTTGTTCCGGAGGCTGTGGATGGCATCACGCTTTTGTGATCATTTAGTTTCATCTTTTGGATTACACAGAAAAAATTAAGAGAACTTGAAATATAGTGTTAACACATTTTTAATTTGTTGAAAAAGAAAGAGGGAGTGGAGTTGTTCTAGGAGTAAAAATGTGCTTCATGTATCACCACTGATTGCAGGAACTTCCAAGATAACATCCCTAGCTAAGACCTGTATTTTTTTTTATCGGATAGGATAGTAGACTGGTCGCTTCCCCTCCCCCCACCTCCTTATTTATAAAATCAAATATAAGGGCCACAAATTTGAAACAATATACATTTACTGATTCATGCATAGGATTGCCAGATGGTTGAAACAAAAATACTAAACTTTCCCCCCTCCCCCCGCCAAAAAGGAAACAATTCTCTTGAAGGGGAAAAAAGGGGGGGGGACCAAAGTTGTTGAGCAAAAAGGAGAAAAAAAAGAGACTCCAAGTAAGCCAAAAAAATTAATTAATAAAATAAAATAAAACAGCATGTCCCCTTTAAGAGTGAGTGCAGGGATAGGAACAGGGGAGCAGTTGAGCACTAAGATGCAGGGGAAGCATTGTTTCCCCTAGGTCTTTTGGCTGGCAGCCATTTTGTGCCGGCAGCTTTGGGGAACCAGGTAAGCATGGGGGCTGAGGTTGGGGGGCTGAGGGTGTTCGAGGCCAGAGGAGGTTTGGGGGGGAAGAGGCCGAGCTCTGAGTGTTGCCAGGTGCCCGGGATTTTCGCCTCCTGGATGGGGAAAAATTCAGAGAATACCAGACATCTCAGGTGTCCGGTATTCTCTGAATTTTTTTACCGGACAGGAGTAAAAAAAATACTGGACTGTCTGGGTGAATACCAGACACCTGGCAACCCTATTCATGCAAACATACAAACATATATGTGTGGAACTGGGACTTAATTTAATGTTATGCTTCAGCTAAAACATGAAGCAGAAGCATTTTTCTACTCTTTAAGCTAAAATTAGGATGCCGATAACTAACGAAGTGGGTTGTGCCCACGAAAGCTCATGATACCATCTGCATGTTTTGTTTGTCTCTAAGGTGCTGCAAGACTATTTGTTGATTTTTTTGCTTCAGTGAGGTGGCCGAGTTAGTCTGTAACAGGAAAAACTTAAAAAACAACAAAAAACAAAATATCAAGAACTGGGCTTTGTCCACGAAAACTCATGATACCATCTACATATTTTGTTAATCTTTAAAGTGCTACCAGACTATTTGTTGTTTTTTAAGTTTTTCATTGTTTTTTGTTGTTAAGTTTAGCCCTGTTTCCTGTCAAGTTCTGTCCTGGAGAGAAAGGGGATAAACTATACTTCCTTTTCCTCAGCTTGGATCCCTATTACATCAGTTAATCTGTATGTATACCTGGGGTGGGAGAGGAAACCAAAAATGGTTCACTATTATGTCAAGTTTCTGATGGAAATTATTATCATTATTATTATTATTATTATTATTATTTTTGTCTAGCCAATCAAAAACCCTCCTTCAGGAAAGAAGTATGTTAGATGTCCCTGTAATTGTCTGCTTATCTGTAAGGATACATCTCGGCGAATAGGATGTCCAAGGCCTAATTGGTAAGACCTAAAGAATCCTAGTGACAGATACCAAGGTGCTGTGAATGTTACAAATATTGTAATGTTATTTTTAGTCATTTATAAAATGTGTCCACTTTCATTGGCATTACACAGATATTTATTTGTCCGTGACTCTGTGTAGACCTAAATTTATTGGCTTCATTAGGTTAACATATTAAAAAAAGAAAACTATATTGCTTGTGCCAGAATAATTATTTTTCCAACATTATTGATATAAGTTTAAAGAATGTTTTTAATCTATTGAATATGAAATAATATATTGTGTAAGTTGTATAAGGGCTGCATAAAGTGAATAGCATACAATACCGTGGAGAAACAAAAGTTCTGGGAAGTATTGTGCATGATTTCTTGCAAGCTCAGTTCTATGGTAATTCTATGGGAAAGTGGTAAAAGCACAACTTGTGTTATAGCAACTCTGTTGCTTAGTAACAGTGAATAACTTGACATTCTTGCAACCTTTCATTGCAGAAATTCCTCCTCCTCCTTTCTCAAAAATAATTTAGCCAATGAACATACAGGCAGTCCCCGAGTTACGCAGATCCGACTTACGTCGGATCCGCAGTTACAAACGGGGTTCGCTGCCCATCTCCCTGGTCTGCTGGAGACCAGCAGACCAAGGAGACGGGAAGCAAAGTCTCTGAGGACGCCGGCAGCGGGACAGCCGCGACGCGTCTGGGCTGCCCGCGTGCTCTGCTGCTTTGCTCCATGTCTCCCCAGACCAGGGAGATGGGGAGCAAAGCCGCGGAGCACGGGG